ATATAAAATTAGGTCAACTGTAGAAAATCTCATGGAATCCTCCCTTTAAGTGTAATAAAAAGCACTACAGAATTCAGAAGTAGAAGTACAATATAAGGTGTAAACAAAACCCATATGTTGATCAATGAAGGGACATATGCTGCAGAGCATCTTCCAGCCTGACAGCTCCTTCACTCACATGATTATTTCTCTTAACTTCTGAAAACAGATTACACCGCCAGGTGAGTGAAAGAGACTTGAGGTTTGTATAATGATTTTACAGTAACAAATAGTTTTGAATATCGACGAAAAGAGTATTACATTTAAATCCCTCATATATCGGTAATTAGCCAAAAAGAATTTCATGTATGCGTAGCTTCCTGTTCAAGTATCTCAAATAAGGTTAATAACAGAACTCATTCAATGAACTGCCCTGAAGGCCTGATGCAGGAAGAGATGCATATAGGTGTGTGCTATTGCTGTTGTTATTACTATTATCAGCCAGGTTAGGGATTTTAATTCTACATTTACACCAGCTTTTGCCACAGTGCAATCACTTCACTTCGCTTTATAAAGACTGAGATATAGTTCTCTGAGGCAAAGATAGCAAGTCTTTCTAGGTACATTGGGCAATTAACACACAATTGCAGATGTTAAAATAATAAAGGTGATCTGATAAGGCCTATCTTAACTAATTAACTTTATTCTTTTCATAATAAAATAAATATTTTTTTCTCTTAAAATTCTAAACTGATAGACAAAGTCATTTTTAATTGGTATTTACCTAATTGGCTGTATATAGGGTGTCCCAAAAAATGTATACACTTTGAATAATTATAAAGGCAGTGTTTATTAAANTTGGTATTTACCTAATTGGCTGTATATAGGGTGTCCCAAAAAAATGTATACACTTTGAATAATTATAAAGGCAGTGTTTATTAAAATACATTTCATTTTCAGAGCTATCAGCTGTTAAAGTGTGTGTACATTTTTCTGGAGCACCCTGTATATTATGCAGATATTAATTAGGCAAAGTAATGTGTTTTTAGTAAAGGTCAGGCTGCAGAGTTAGATGCAGATGGTTGCTATTTTGTAGAGTGGACATATCAAGTGATTTTTTTTTTTTAGAGAACCCCTAGATTTCTTATTGTAGTAGGCAGCATGCTGGCAATTGGGGCAGACGCAATGTGAGGCCCTTGAGGTGAGTCAGAACTGGCAGATATGTTGGAATCCAGCCAGAAGTGCTTGTCTTCTATTTGGTGGGAGAGGGCAAAGCCCAAAATGAGAACAGTAGGAAAATGTAGAAGTCTCTTTTTTTACAAAATAACCTAAGCTTAATAAGCCCAAAAAGGAGTCATAACTTTGTTTTATCCTTTAAGCAAAAATTTAATAATACTTGGTAATCGAAAAAAAAAAAGGAAATCTATTGTAATTTCTCTTCAGTGTGTACCACAATGCTAAACCGCTAATGGAACATACCGCTTTCGGGAAGGGCTAGTATAATCGCCCCAGCCCACATCTCCTACCTTGATGCACAGCTCAACTATTCTATTCTTGGAAAATTACTGCAGCTCTGGAACTCGGAATATTGCTGGTGGGTGAAGAATGATTCTGCAGCCTTTCATCCTTCACAGTTTTCACGCCGTCTCGATTAGTCTGACTCTGCCATCTAGTGTTCAAACGTCCTCCGTGCTGTAGCTCAGCTGCATTAGCAGCAAAATAACACAGGAGGAGAAAAGGCTGCGGCTACCAAGAACCCAGCAGCTGCAGAGAAGCCCACCCCGGGAGAAAAGCAGCCTGCGGCGTAAACTTAAATGTGTTTATTCCATAAAGGTCAAATCACTTTGGACAGCTAATTTTGAATAAAAACCTGATCAAAGGCAGTGAGAAACGTGGAAAAAACAAGTTACCTTAAAAACAGTGTGCTTGGGGAGAGTCAATCATTGAAATACTAAAACAGATTTCTTTTTAAATGTATATTTCTTGTTTATTGTATTTACTTCATAAATATTTTATGAATTCTATATGGCCATACAAATTACACATAATATACAGCATATATTGAAATTATACTTATTTCATACTTTGTTTTTATATTCCTCTCTGTACCTGCCTCTAACTTAACAAAATTGTTATTGACTTTGGACACCCCAGTCATAACTGGGTTGGATTTGAGTGGAATGAAAAGATGGAAAGTTTATCTTAATACTTGGTTGAACTGCGTGCCCTTCCCAGTTTGTGGTTTTGTTACTACTCATGACTGCACCTTCAGGGCTCAGGTGCTTCACAACATAGCCCAAGAAACACAGAGGGGCTTTGATATGCATGTTTGCCAGGAAGAAGAAAAAAAAGTGTCTTTGTCTTACCATTGAGACCATTTTAGGTCTATATATATATTTTTTAATTTGGGAAATTATTTTTAGGAATTAATGAATTTGGTCACAATTTTCAAGACATCCTGGAGACATGATTTTTATTTTCTTTACTAGCCTTTGAGATGACTTCTATATTGTATATTAGTTTAGAATTTTAAGAGAAAAAATATTTATTTACTTATGGAAAGAATAAAATTACTTAGTTAAGACAGACCCTATGAGCTCACCTCTATTATTTTAACATCTGCAAAACGATGGACAGCAGGCCTCCTCTGACTTCAGTGTGAAAATCCAAAACCTCAGTCGTTGCCCCGACTCGTCGTGAGGCAGGGGACGTCCCGGGTCCTGCTCACCCCGCCTCGGACCCACCCTGAGCGCCGGGCTCCCCGGTCCTCTGCCCGCGCCTCAAGGCCAGGACGCCCCTCCCGCCTCGCGCTCCCTTTGCCTGCTTGGCATCAGTCGGAAGACCTGCTGCGGTTCTTGGGCTCTCAGTTAATTCTTACGCTCGCTTCAGATCTTAGCGCAAACAGCATTTCCTCAGACAAGCGGCCTCTGCGTTAGCCCCCGGATAGAAGGCAGCATCCCATAGTTCTCGTTACCGCTCACGGCTCCTGGCGACGGTGCATCCGTGTCATTACCTGCTTGGCGCCTGCTGCCCCACTGGGTCATGGGCTGTAGGCAGGCTCCAATAATACTTCGCTTCAGCTCCTCGGGCTCCCAGCCGCTGTTTCTCTAACATCTGCTATAGCATAGGCGAGTGGGCAACACCCGATGAAATCAAGCCTGAGCCCCAGGCTGGGAACCCACATGCCCGTTGTCCCAGCCCATGTGGTTCGGTGAAGTCAGCTCTGCTCTCGTGTACCCTTGGGGCAAGAGAATATTCGCTGAGGCAGCAAATCCCAGCTTCAATTCCAGCTCGTCAGGTCTGTCCCTCTGGGGCTTTGTCACGTCCTGCCGCGTGGTCTGGGAGTGGGGGGTGTTGTCAGCACTTACAGAGTCGCTGACCTCATTCAGGAGCAGCCTTCCCTCTTCGTGGGGATCCGTTAACCTCCTAATCCCCTGCTCTCCCATCTCCCCTTCCCATGCTCCTGCCCCCCCCCCCC